ATTAATTCTTGGAAGGATATGTATTACATTATGACATATGTCCATACGTGTCATATACATGCATATATATGCAATAAAAGGGAACAAACACAATGAAACCTGTATAAAACCTGTGTGTATATATATTATATAATCTAAAATACAAAAATATATATATATTTTTAAAACATATATTTCATTTTCATTCATTGACTGTTATATATTTTTGACCATAGATTCAGAAGATACTACTTTAATTATTATTGTTGTAAATATGTATAGTTAACCCTACCTTTTTAATTAAAAATCACGATTATAGAATTCATTCTATAAATTCTATATTGCTGTGATAGAAATAATTTTATGTGTAATTTTACTTCAAGTAATTCAAAATAAAATCTACTTGAAAGGTAAATAATTATCTTTACTTTTTACGACTGCACCTCTTTTCAACTACAAAACACATATATATATGTGACACCTATATGTACATATGTGACAGTTGTATATGTACATATGTGACACCTGTATATGTATATATAAATGTGATACCTATTAATTATGTCGCTAACAAACTCGATGTTCCAGGTAAGAAACCCCTGTTGACACAAGAGCCAATAAAAGCTAAGTATTCCAACCAATTAATTAATTAGACGTTAATTACAGCATATTGCTAATTGGATTATAAATGTCTTCCATCGCTGCTAGCTAATTATACCGGCTCACATATTAATTAGAGCTAACTAACATATCGCACTAATTGGTTCTTTTGAACATTCGGTTGTGCACAAATGGTTCTATTGAAAGAAACAAAAATTGTTAGATTAGAATTTGTTCAGATATGTTTTACACCAATCTAGTCGTTTCAGTGGGGGTTGTATAACATGCACCACGCTGATAAGGACCAACAGCCCGAAACGTGTATGTTGTTTTTATTGATATTTCAAGAGAAGAGGGTATAAGCCCGCCTCTATACAAATTAATTTAAAAAATCAACAGTTTCCGATAGATGGCAGTGGGCCATCAACAACATTCAGTTGCACGATAAAATATTCCTCTTTCACATTATATAATAATGATTGTACCAACAACATAATGTTATGATCAATCGCCGTGTTTTCCTTTTTGTATTTACATAATACTAGCTCAATATGTAACTCATATGCAAATTGTCTGATTATAAGTTCTTTATATAATGTTCAACAATCCATCATTTCAGTGTTTGCCCACCTGAGTAGTTGTTTGAACCGAGGTCAAACACTCTTTCGTCCAATGTACATTGTCGTCAAAAACTGAGAAATTCTACATAGAAGTTTTACGTTTTACATTTAAAAATTCACCTAGAGAACAGACGTATGTTTCGCTGGGGGAGCAGAAAGTGTCAATTTGAACAGACGTCGCTGTAGAGAGATGCTACCCATCTGAGGTTCGGAAGGTAGACTTCTGAGGTTTTGAATGTTGAGTACGGAAACGCTATTCCTTCCAAACATGCAGGACGAATGTCTACAAGTGCTGAACTGTAGATGTACAAGGTTTGGATCATCAGTGGTGAACCTTGGCTCACCCATTCACTACACCATGACGAGTTAGGAAACCAATACTTCAACCAAGTATTTGTTCAATTCCCCACGTTTCAGGGACTGCTGTCATTCTCCTCAGGGGAAGAATCACTGAAACGTCAAGAAATGAATAAATACTTGGTTGATGTATTTGTTTCCAAACCAACTTCCAAACCAACAAACCAACTTCATGACGTGTTGACTCCAGTTTAAAGAAGCCCGGGACGTACATTAGCCATACACCAACGTAACTACCCAGCCGACATGGCCGATAAGCCTACGTTGTCATCATTGTTATCATCATTGCCTCCGGGGCGGAAATGACGTTCCAATTATCTCCCAGATACAGGCGCGTGTCAACAGACGGGGAATTTGCATAAGATATGACTTGCATATCTCCCCGGTGTGACAATACCGCGGGCTGGGTATTTATAGCACCTCTTACATAACGTAATACTAGTATGTATATATCATGATGTAACACGCCGAGAGTGCAACTGTTACATGGGAACTTTGAATTGATACTTCCCACACAATATGTAATTTC